GTGGGGTAGGGTGGGGTGTGCAGGGCCTGGGGGTGGGGTGGGGTGTGCAGGGCTTGTTTCTGAGCCGTCCTGCAGCCCAGGTGCACGTGCTGGAGTCCCGGAGCTGGCGAGGCAGAGGGCTGTCTGCACAGCTACCTGCACTCTTGGCCTCTGAGTGCAGATGGGCAGGGCTCCGATGGGCCTGATCTGACCCCAGAGGGTTCTGGAAAGCCCTCCACATTCAGCAGTCAGTCCCAGCCTTGCTATTTCTCAGCTGCTCACGGGGCAAGACTGTGACTGCCCCAGCTGTGTGGGGCAGTGGTCCCTGGGTGGCCTTCTCACTGGCCTAGGAGGGACTGGGCCTTGATGTCTCGATGCCACAGCAGTAGCAGTAGTGATGTAGGTAACACTGGGGCACTGAACTTACGTACTGTCTGTCAGACATGGCCTTCGCTCATCTCTACCCCACCTGGTTCCATGGTAGCCAGAGGCCATCTATTCTCTGGGCCTGCCTGGTGGTGACCCCACCCAGACCCCCCCAACCACCCTGCCTCAACCCCTGGCTGTTCAAAGATTTAACCACTGGAGTTTTGACTATTTGGGGAGTTGCCTTGTACCCCGAGATGTGTGCCATTTAACCAGTCACACAAAATGGACTGAAATTACTGAGAGGGGTGAGGCATTAGCCAGAGTGACCATGGGAGACGGAAGATGACAGGTAGAAAAAGGAGGCACTAAGGCAGGGTCCCTGATTTCACACAGACTCCCAGTCCTGACTGAGCAAGAAGGGACAGTGTGGTGACACATGTCCCCTAAATTTCAGCCAGCGGTTTTGGGGGTCTCCGGGACCTCAGTGGCAAGCAGGTAGCTGCCAAGGGGAGGCCGAGGGGCCACGGGGTAAGCACGGGGGAAGTCTAGAAGAGTGAGCCAGGGGCGGTGGCAGCTTTGAGCTCAGGGGTACACCTGAGACGACTGCCAGGCCTTGTGGGATTCGAGGGCCCTGAGAGGAACGTTTTGAGCAAAATCACTTAATGGCTTCAGTACATGAGAGCCCTCTGGATGTTCAGGGTGGGTTTCCTTAGGGCCGTGACCTCCAAGGAGCACGAACTGTGTGGCGCTATTCCAATTCGGGGAGCCCAGGGGGCCTCCGCCTTCCTACAGGAGCCTCACAGCACACCCACACTAAAGGTTCTGAGCAATCCTGACTACTAACCCTTCTCACCCAGCTTTTCCCATGCTCACATGGCCACGGACGCTTTAAAAAGAAAGTCACCGCATGGACACTCCCTGGTGGTGCAGCGGGTTAAAGCACAGCACTGAGAAGCTAAAGCCGCTTCCGCATGAGTTTGATTCCCGCCTGCCCCGGAGGTGACCCACATGGCCGGCAGCCCTCTCCTGACCCGCCCGCTGCTCCCTCAGCAGTGTACTTCGTCGATCTGCCTGTTCTGCTCCCCACTCTGTCTCTGGTGAAGCCTCTCACCGCCCCTGAG